TGTGCACACTTGTTTGATCTCCATCCAATATGCAGAAATCCTATGGGGCTTACATAAAACTACATTTCTTTAAAGATAATTTGCTTTTGCTTCTCTCAGATATACTGGGGCTCTAGGAATGTTGGATCGGTTTAAGATAATTTTAGACCATGAAGTTTCCCAGACAATAAAAGTAATGTGTATTTGAATCCAAAATCTATGGGAAGGCAGAACAGTGACTACAAATTCACAGGGGAGTCACTTTTCCTACCTAAAACTGAGGCTAAAAGACAAGTTGCCTTGTAACTGCTCATGATTTCAGAACTCATTTGTTAGTTTAGTTTTCAGTTCCTTCTCCACATTTGATGCTTTAGAATTTTCTTTACATTTTTTTTTTTAGTTCAGCTATGCATTTAAAAGTATGTTTATTGTGCTTTATCCACAATTTCTAAATGTTTTGTTACAAGAGACTTTCAGATATATCTTGTCATAGTTAAAAAACAACAACAAAAAATTCCCCAGAAAACAAGTTCTTTCTGATTTTAAAATATCTTTACTGATAACCACTCTTCTGAATTCCAGGAATTACCATGATAACTAAGACTTCAAGAAACACAAGATAGATGGACAAGACAGATAGGTAAACAATGAACAATACTAAATGAAATGATCACCAAATGGAGATATAAGAAAGTAGCTGTGGCGAGACAGATTAAAAAAAAGATGTTTTATCTCCTAGGACTTCTACTGTTAAACCACTTTTTACAGAACTGTCATTTGTGTTTCTAAAAGTATTGGTATCCTATCTTTTGGACTTGATTTAGGGCAAGAACTGTATTTTATGCTTCTTTACCGTTCCCTACGATGCCTAGATTAAAAGCAGAATAGGGGCACCTGGGTGGCTCAGTAGGTTAAGCCTCTGCCTTTGGCTCAGGTCATGATCTCAGGGTCCTGGGATCGAGCCCCACATCAGGCTCTCTGCTTGGTGGGGAGCCTGCTTCCCCCCCCTCTCTGCCTGCCTCTCTGCCTACTTGTGATCTCTCTCTCTATCTAATAAATAAAATCTTTTAAAAAAGATAAAATGAAAGCAGAATAAATAAGGGACTTCTGCTTCTGGGAAGATTAAACAGGCACACTTTCCCTTGCTCTTCTCACTAAGTACAATTAAAAATCCTGAATATTATATAAAAACAAACATAAGAAGACTCTGAAAGGTGGAGAGAAGGCGGCCAGCTGGCTAGAGACTGTGGGACATGACTTACACTACATTGGTACATTCCGTGTGTTTTCTTTTTGCCTTATATATCCCAGAGTTGGAAATGAAAATGATAGCAACCCAGAAATGTCACTAGGTACAGACAAAAAAACCCCAGCCCAACAAAAGCCTGCTCTCTCTAGCCAAATGACCAAGAAAGAGGCAGCCTAGCAAGACTGAAAATTTACATAGTAACTAATATTTTATAGCTACACACTGTGATGTTTGGCTACAGAAAAGCCTCTAGTCTCACCCTCATCCATGCTGCAAAGACTGAGTGGGAAGTCTAGACTGACCTCCTCATCAGGCCATAAGAAGGTGGGACTAAAACAAAAGATCTGGCATTCATGTTACTGGTGTCCTGGAAGGAGAGAAGAAAGGCAGGGCTGAAAAACTTTCAAATTTAGCCAAAAAACTCTTCCCCCCACAACCAAAAGAACACCATAAACCCACAGATTCAAGAAGCTGAGCTAACCTCAAACATGTTAACCCAAAAAAACCGTATCAAGACACATCACAGATAAAATTTTGAAAACTAAAGACAAGGGGAAACCCTACAGGTTTCAAAGGAATCATGGCCATACTGACACCTTGATTTCTGACTTCTAGTCTCCAGAACTGTGAAACAAAAAATAAATCTATAAATCAATATTCTTCATGATTATAGATGTAAAAATCCTTAACAAAACATTAACAAGTATCATTTGGCAATAAAAAAATAATTTTATACCATGATTAAGTGGGGTTTATTCAGAATAACAAAGCTGGTTCAATATTTGAAAATCAATCAATGTAATAACAATAATACTCACAGACTGCAGAAAAAATCAGGTGATCAAATCAACTGATATTGAAAAAATGATGAAATTGAACTTCCTCAACTTGATAAAGAACATCTACAAAAACCATACAGCGAACACTGCACTTAAGTTAATGGTGAAAGACTGAATACATTTCCCCTAAAACTAAAAACAAGGCTAGGAAATCTACTCTCACCACTCTTATTCAATATAGTCCTGGAAGTTCTAGATAGGATAATAAGGCAAAAATGGAAATGAAAAGCACATACATTAGAAAGGATGATAAAAACTGGCCCTATTTGCAACAAATCTCAGGCATCTATAAAAGTCTTCTAGAACTATTTTCAGAAGGTGGAAGAATATGAGATAAACATAAAGAAAACCAACTGTATTTCTATATAATAGCAATGAACATGGGGACACCTAAATTTAAAAATAAAATACCATTTACAATTGCTCAAGAAATGGAAACTCCAGGGGCACCTGGGTGGCTCAGTGGGTTAAGCCTTTGCCTTTGGCTTAGGTCATGATCTTAGGGTCCTGGGATCGAGCCCTGCAACAGGCTCTCTGCTCAGCAGGAAGCCTGCCTCCCACCCCGCTGCTTGCCTCTCTGCCTACTCTCTGCCTCTCTTGCCTCTGTGATTTCTCTCTGTCAAATAAATAAATAAAACCTTAAAAAAAAAAAAGAAATGGAAACTCCAAAATGCTGATAAACAAAATCAAAGAATAATCAAAATAAATGGAAAGACATGTGTTTAAAGATTGGAAGACTCAACACAGTAAAGATGTGACTTCTTCACAAACTGATATGTAGGTTTAATGTAATTCTTAAAAAAATTCAAACAAAAATTTTAAATATATATTGTAAAATTTATATGGACAGACAAAAGAACCTAAACACCTAAAAACAATTTTAAAAAGAACTGAGAGGAAACAGTCTACATGATTTGAAGAGTTGTATTATTTATGGCTACAGTAATCAAGAGAGTGTGGCAATGGTGGAGGGACACAGAAATTAATGTAACAAAATAAAAAACCCAGAAATAGACTTACACAAATATATATGAATCATTTTTGAGGAAAGAGCAAAAGCGATACAGTGGGGAAATTTCAGGAAGTCTTCTCAACCAGTGGTAGGGTAGCTGGACATTCATAAGTTAAAAAAAAAAAAAGACCTTGACCTAAGCCTTATACCTTATATGAAAGTTAGCTAAAAATAAATCATGAACTCAAATGTAAAATATAAAACTATACAAAACTTTTAGAAAAAAGAAAAAAAACAGGATAAAATCTAGGAATCTAGGGTTAGGGAGAGAGTCCTTATATTTGACACCAAAAATATCCATAAAATGAAAACTGATAAATTAGACTTCATTAAAATTCAAAACTGTTTTGCTCTATTAAAGACTCTGTGAAGAGTATGAGAAGACAAGGTATAGACTGGGAGAGAAAATATTTATTAGCTACATATTTGATGAAGGAATAGTATCTAAAATATATCAAGAACTCTCAAAACTCAACTGAAAAAAAAGAAACAATACCATCAGAAATTGGGTAAAGACACAATCATTTCAACAAAGAGGATATACGGATGGCAAATAAATGCATGAAAATGTTTAGACATCAGGGAAATGAAAATTAAAACCACAATGAGAGATTAGTGCATACCTGTAACAATGGGTAAAGTAAAAAAAATAGTGACAACATGAAATATTGAGAAGAATGCAGAGAAACTGGGTTACTCAGATACTGCTGGTGGAAATATAAAATGGTAACCCAGCTGGAAAACAGTATGGCAGTTCTGAGAAAAACAAAACATATACCATGATACAATTTAGCAATTCCACTCTGGGCATTTATCCCAGAGAAAGGAAAATTTACATTCACACAGAAACCTAAAAACAAATGTTCACAGCAACTTTATAGTCAAAAACTAGAAACAATCCAGATGTCATTTAACAGGTCAATAGTTAAACTGTAATACATCCATATCATGGAATATTACTAAGCAATAGAAACGGATGGACTACTGACACACTCAACAAATTGTACTCATCTCCAGTAAATTATGCTGAATGCAAAAGGCCAATCCCAAAGGTTATTATATATACTGTATGATTCCATTTACATAATATCTTTGAGATAAAAAAATCATATAAATGAAGGACAGATTAGTGAATGCCAGGGGTTAAGAATAGGTGGTGAGATGATGGGGTAGGAGGTAAGTGGGTACGGCTACAAAAGGACAACACAGAGATGCTTGTGGCAATGGAATTGTTCTGTATATTGACTCTGTCAATGTCAAATCCTGGTTGTAATGTTGTACTATAGTTTTGCAAGACATTATCATTGGAGAAAATGGGTAAAGGGTGTAGGAGATCTCTGTTAATACATGTGCTTCTACAATTACCTCAAAATAAAAAGCTCAATTTAAAAAGAAAATAAAAAGGATAAACCCATAAATCATATTATTCATTTGTTGAGCACATGCTGCATGGCCAGATCCCATGGAAGTTACTCACATGAATATTATTTAATCTTCATAAACTCTACAAAGATTATGACTATTTCCTAAATAATCTCTCTGGAGTTACTGATTCTTTGTGACATTTTCTTCCTTAAATAGTGGTTTGTAAGAAGGGTTCTGAGTCACATAGTTTCAGAGAAACAAAAACAATTTTTTTTTTACTGTAGGGATTTTTCAAGGCAATATATTAATGTACATTACAAATACTCAAAAGGAGGCCATCATACAGTTTTCCTCAAATTAATGTGGAACTTTTGTTTTTATAGGATGCCAATTAACACCTTGCTTAAAGAACTAGTATTCACTATCTTATACCACAATAAATGTTGGCCTAAAGTTTTTTATCAATATCACTGCTAGAGTTGGTGTTATTTCAATTTAGGCTATAGATTTATTGCTTGAATGTAATCTAATCATACTGTTGATCCAAACCACTTACCATGTAACAATATAAATAGATCGAAGTACTAATGTGAAGACCAACATTCCATACATGACCTGAATAAGAAAAGAAAAATGAAGTTAGTAAAACCATTATTTTTTGGCAAAGGAAGTATATTTTACCTATAAAATTGGCCCTCTCAATAAAATGTAAGTATTTATTATCTTTTGTTACATTTTATTTATTTTATTTGTTTTAATTTTTTTTAATTTTTAAATTTTTTTAATAAACATATAATGTATAATTAGCCCCAGGGGTACAGGTCTGTGAATCGCCAGGTTTACACACTTCACAGCACTCACCATAGCACATACCCTCCCCAATGTCCATAACCCCACCACCCTCTCCCTACCCCGCTCCCCCTGGCCAACCTCCGTTTCTTTTGTGACATTAAGAGTCTCTTATGGCTTGTCTCCCTCCCAATCCCATCTTGTTTCATTTATTCTTTTCCTACCCCCCAAACGCCCCATGTTGCATCTCCACTTCCTCATATCAGGGAGATCATATGATAGTTGTATTTCTCTGATTGACTTATTTAGCTAAGCACAATACCCTCAAGTTTCATCCACGTCATTGCAAATGGCAATATTTCATTTCTTTTGATGGCTGCATAGTATTCCATTGTATATATATATACTACATCTTCTTTATCCATTCACCTGTTGATGGACATCTAGGTTCTTTCCATAGTTTGGATATTGTGGACATTGCTGCTATAAACATTTGGGTGCATGTGCCCCTTCGGATCACTACGTTTGTATCTTTAGGGTAAATACCCAGCAGTGCAATTGCTGGGTCGTAAGGTAGCTCTATTTTCAACTTTTTGAGGAGCCTCCATGCTGTTTTCAAGAGTGGTTGCACAAGCTTGCATTCCCACCAACAGTGTAGGAGGGTTCCCCTTTCTCCGCATCTCGCCACCATCTATCATTTCCTGACTTGTTAATTTTAGCCATTCTGACTGGTGTGAGGTGGTATCTCATTGTAGTTTTGATTTGTATTTCCCTGATGCTGAGTGATGTGGAGCACTTTTTCATGTGTCTGTTGGCCATCTGGATATCTTCTTTGCAGAAATGTTTGTTCATGTCCTCTGCCCATTTCTTGATTGGGTGTTGAGTTTGCTAAGCTCTTTATAGATTTTGGATACTAGCCCTTTATCTGATATGTCATTTGCAAATATCTTCTCCCATTCTGTCAGTTGTCTTTTGGTTTTGTTAACTGTTTCCTTTGCTGTGCAAAAGATTTTGATCTTGATGAAGTCCCAATAGTTCATTTTTGCCCTTGCTTCCCTTGCCTTTGGAGATGTTCCTAGGAAGAGGTTGCTGTGGCTGAGGTCGAAGAGCTTGCTGCCTATGTTCTCCTCAAGGATTTGGATGGATTCCTTTCTCACATTGAGGTCCTTCATCCATTTTGGGTCTATTTTCGTGTGTGGTGTAAGGAAATGGTCCAATTTCATTTTTCTGCATGTGGCTGTCCAATTTTCCCAACACCATTTGTTGAAGAGGTGGTCTTTTTTCCATTGGACATTCTTTCCTGCTTTGTCGAAGATTAGTTGACCATAGCATTGAGGGTCTATTTCTGGGCTCTCTATTCTGTTCCATTGATCTATGTGTCTGTTTTTGTGCCAGTACCATACTGTCTTGATGATGGCAGCTTTGTAATAGAGCTTGAAGTCCGGAATTGTGATGCCACCAACTTTGGCTTTCTTTTTCAATATTCCTTTGGCTATTCGAGGTCTTTTCTGGATCCATATAAATTTTAGGATTATCTGTTCCATTTCTTTGAAAAAAATGGATGGGATTTTCATAGGGATTGCATTAAATGTGTAGATGGCTTTAGGTAGCACAGACATTTTCACAATATTTGTTCATCCAATCCATGAGCATGGAACATTTTTCCATTTCTTTGTGTCTTTCTCAATTTCTTTCATGAGTATTTTATAGTTTTCTTAGTATAGATCCTTTGTCTCTTTGGTTAGGTTTATTCCTAGGTATCTTATGGTTTTGGGTGCAATCATAAATGGGATGGACTCCTTAATTTCTCTTTCTTCTGTCTTGTTGTTGGTGTAGAGAAATGCAACTGATTTCTGTGCATTGATTTTATATCCTGACACTTTACTGAATTCCTGTACAAGTTCTAGCAGATTTGGAGTGGAGTCTTTTGGGTTTTCCACGTATAGTATCATATCATCTGCAAAGACTTCTTCTTGGCCGATCTGGATGCCTTTGATTTCTTTTTGTTGTCTGATGGCTGAGGAATGGACTTCTAGTACCTTGTTGAATAGCAGTGGTGATAATGGACATCCCTGCCGTGTTCCTGACCTTAGTGGAAAAGCTTTCAGTTTTTCTCCATTGAGAATGATATTTGCAATGGGTTTTTCATAGATGGCTTTGATAATATTGAGGTATGTGCCCTCTATTCCTACACTTTGAAGAGTTTTGATCAGGAAGGGATGCTGTACTTTGTCAAATGCTTTTTCAACATCTACTGAGAGTATCATATGGTTCTTGTTCTTTCTTTTATTAATGTATTGTATCCCACTGATTGATTTGCGGATGTTGAACCAACACTGCAGCCCTAGAATAAATCCCACTTGGTCGTGGTGAATAATCCTTTTAATGTACTGTTGGATCCTATTGGCTAGTATTTTGGTGAGAACTTTTGCATCCGTGTTCATCAGGGATATTGGTAATTCTCTTTTTTGATGGGATCCTTGTCTGGTTTTGGGATCAACGTGATGCTGACCTCATAAAATGAGTTTGGAAGTTTTCCTTCTATTTCTATTTTTTGGAACAGTTTGAGGAGAATAGGAATTAGTTCTTCTTTAAATGTTTGGTAGAATTCCCCCGGGAAGCCATCTGGCCCTGGGCTTTTGTTTGTTTGGAGATTTTTGATGACTGTTTCAATCTCCTTACTGGTTATGGGTCTGTTCAGGCTTTCTATTTCTTCCTGGTTCAGTTGTGGTAGTTTATATGTCTCTAGGAATGCATCCATTTCTTCCAGATTGTCAAATTTGTTGGCATAGAGTTGCTCATAATATGTTCTTATAATTGTCTGTATTTCTTTGGTGTTAGTTGTGATCTCTCCTGTTTCATTCATGATTTTATTTATTTGGGTCCTTTCTCTTTTCTTTTTGATAAGTCTGGCCAGGGGTTTATCAATTTTATTAATTCTTTCAAAGAACCAGCTCCTAGTTTCGTTGATTTGTTCTATTGTTTTTTTGGTTTCTATTTCATTGATTTCTGCTCTGATCTTTATGATTTCTCTTCTCCTGCTGGGTTTAGGGTTTCTTTCTTGTTCTTTCTCCAGCTCTTTTAGGTGTAGGGTTAGGTTGTGTACTTGAGACCTTTCTTGTTTCTTGAAAAAGGCTTGTATCGCTATATATTTTCCTCTCAGGACTGCCTTTGCTGTGTCCCACAGATTTTGAACCGTTGTGTTTTCATTATCATTTGTTTCCATGAATTTTTTCAAATTTTCTTTAATTTCCTGGTTGACCCATTCATTCTTTAGAAGGATGCTGTTTAGTCTCCATGTATTTGGGTTCTTTCCAAATTTCCTCTTGTGATTGAGTTCTAGCTTCAGAGCATTGTGGTCTGGAAATATGCAGGGAATGATCTCAATCTTTTGATACTGGTTGAGACCTGATTTATGACCCAGGATGTAAGCTATTCTGGAGAATGTTCCTTGTGCACTAGCAAAGAATGTGTATTCTATTGCTTTGGGGTGGAATGTTCTGAATAGATCTGTGATGTCCATCTGGTCCAGTGTGTCATTTAAGGTCTTTATTTCCTTGTTGATCTTTTGCTTGGATGATCTGTCCATTTCAGTGAGGGGAGTATTAAGGTCCCCTACTATTATTGTATTATTGTCGATGTGTTTCTTTGATTTTGTTATTAATTGGTTTATATAGTTGGCTGCTCCCACGTTAGGGGCACAGATATTTAAAATTGTTAGATGTTCTTGTTGGACAGACCCTTTGAGTATGATATTGTTACAATTTAAAGAACAGACTTCTTACAAATATCTTCTCCCATACATAGGCTGCCTCACTCCCTAGATCCTTTTTCTTTAGCTTCACTTTAAGCAAATGACTCTACTTCCCATTTTATAAGAGTATAAATCTGAACTCTTTTACTATTTTTATCATAATTTTTAAGAGAGGGAGAGAAGGGATGTGAGGGGAGGGACAGAGGGAGAGGGAGAGAGAGAATCTTAAGCAGGCTCTGCTCCTGCCTGACGTGGGGCTCGATCTCACAGCTCTGAGCTGAAATCAAGAGCCAGAAGCTTAACTGACTGAACTACCCAGGTGTCCCTTGAACTCTTTTAAATTTTCCTCCTAAATGTTTCTGCATTCAGATGCAATTTCTCCCTACATTCTTTCTCCCAATTCTTATCTCCAAAGAGATGCCTGTTTCTTTTTGATTGATGTTAATATATTCCTGTGTTCTTTATTCTATATGTTCCTACCAATATCTTCCTAGACTCGGCTCCATCAACTCTTTCTCCTCTAAACTGAGCACTGGATAGGTACCACTACCAGGAAAATTGAACCTAGTGGGAAATTTTAACTTTTAAAAGTATGAAATATTAAATATTTTAAAATTGCATAGAAAAGAAATGTACAACTTTATAAGTATTTACAAATCAATAGCCGGGAAAGTACCATTTAGGTAAAAACAGATTCCCGTTAACATTCCAAAGTACTCCATGTGTCTCTTTCCAGTCCCCCTCCCAATCTTCTTAGAGGAAACCACTCTTTTGACTTTTATAATAAATATTTTTTTGCTTTTCTTTACATATTTGCTAACTTAAACTGGTCTCCTAAATATGAATTCCTAAATACTGTTTTTTGAATTTTAATAGAACGGAATTTTTATTTATAATAGAGTAATAGTGCACACTTTTGTTTTCATCTTGTTCTTTAAGATTCAGTTACATTGTGTATGTAGCCATATTTCATTCATTTCTTATATTAAATACTATTTAACTGGGTAAAAATACCACAATGTATTTACCCATTCTTATGTTCAACATTTTGGGGTTATTTCCAGTTTTTACT